GAGCAGCAGGGAAATGAAGGCTGGAGCGGGTGTCCTGGCCCGGCACTGCCTGGCAGAGCGAGCCGTGTTTTCCCTGTTGTTCACTGAGGAGCCACGCCAGGAAAGTGATTCACTCCTTTCCATCATGAATCTTGCAGAGCATCTCAAGCACCTTCTCACTGCTGGTGCCCCCGGCAGCTGCAAGATGGAGAGAGTGGCAGTGAACCAGGGGAAGGACCACAGGTTCCAGCGTGCAATTCTCCGCCACGCTCCGGCTAACCGGGATGTGCACTCCCGTGGCAAGGAAAGCAGAGGAGAGCTCAGGCTGCATTGCAGGGCTCCACAGGCTGGCGTGTGTGAGACCAGGACTGTTCCCACCCCTTTGTGTCCCGAGGCCTTAATGAGAGCAAGAATGCTCCTGGAGGGTCGCTAGAGAAGCTGCCGGGTGCGCTGGGGCTTTGTGCTGTGCAGAGCTGCGGCTCCGTGCACGCGGTGCCTTTGTTCCTGCCTCGGATGCACCGGAGCAGAGCTCATCTCGTTAGTGATGGTTTGGCTTCCCCCCAGGACGTTTTCCTTCTGCTCTTTCCATTCCCCTGCCTTCGGGTCACGGCAGTTGGGTTTGAGCCAGTGCAGCTTATTGGGGAGGGGTGCAGCAATCGAGGGGTTTGGGATGTTTTTTTTCTTCTGTGGAGATGGAATCAGGTTGTGCAAAGGGTCCCAAATGCTGCATTGGTACCAGGAATGCTGGGTGAGCCTGCATGGCCCTAGCATCCTGCTGCAGGCTTTACCTAAATTGGGAAAGAAAAAAGTGTAACAGATTGGTGTGGGGGGGGAAAAATATAGCAGGATTTTTTTTTTCTCAGATGTCAGAGAAGGTGGGTTTGTGTCTCTGCTGGCTCCGAGCTGGCTCGTCCCCTCCTTTGCTCTTTTGCTGTGGGCTGTGGAGCGGGAGGCTGGCAGCCCTGCTGCTATTCCTGGTGGTGACAAGCTGGTGATGGGAGATGAGGGATGGTGAAAACAAAGTGTAGGGAACATTCATTAGCAATTATCCCTGCTTGCAGCTTGAGCTGGGTGGCTGTTGGGGACATCTGATAGCCACTTAATACATGTTCAAAGCGCTGGCTCTGGCGTGAGGGTGAGTCTGGTGGCTGGTTTTTGGAGGAGCCCAGCTCTCAGCTCCCTTTTCCAGCTTCCTTTAACCTCGAGCTCTTCCTGCAGGTGTTAAGCTGCCTTGAGATCTGCTTTTCTCTTCCCTCCCACCTAATCTCCTCACAGCTGGGGTCTTCCAGACCTGTTAGCAGCAAAGTGAAGCCCAGCTGGAGAGGTGGGACGAGCAGGGGGGCAGTGGTTGTGTGGAGGCTGTGTGTAGAGCGTGTCTGTGGGGTGTTGGTGTGAAGCAGTGGGAGGAGCAGCTCTTGGTGAGCCACATCAGCTGTTTGCAGCCCACAGAGCCCACTGGCCTCCCACCTGCCTTGCTGCCTGCTGACTACAAGGTGGCAGAAGGTCTGAAAGGAGGCTGAATCTTTTTTTTTCACACTGTAGTTGCATTGCATAACCTCTCCCTTTCAAGTTTCTCTGGTCATCTGCAGGATTGGAGAAGGGTAGGTTTGCTCCTTTTTGAGGGACCGTCTGGTCTCTGGACTGTGTTTGTTGTATCCACCTTCTAAATGCCAAGTTGCTTCTAGGTAGAGACAGTGTAAAGACTGGAGTACCAGCACCTATCTTATTAACACCCCCAATATGAGAGAGATGATTGCTGTTGAATTTAAGAGGGGACATCCCCCATCAGACTCCTGGCTGGGTTTGATTCTTGGTCTCTGGAAGAGAGGAAGCATGGTTTCCCTCTCAACTGACCTTTTATTTGAAAAACTGCTGTTGGAGATTATCTTTACTGGGGATCACAGAATCCCAGACTGGTTGGGGTTGGGAGTGACCATAAAATTAATCTCATTTTATTCCCTGAAACATGCCTCCCACTAGAGCTGGTTGTTCCAAGCCTTGTCCAACCTGAACAATATGACAGGATATGCTCTGTCCTCTCGCTCTGCTGCACCAGCTCTGGGTTTTGGGCTTTTATTCCAAGCTCAGGTTTACTGAAGTGATGATGGACTACCTGTGGGGTGGAGTAGTTGGGAATAAATTTTTTATTTGTCTCCTAAACTTCCTGTGTTACAGACAGTAGAGTAACTCCACTGACCTTTCACAACAGAAACAGTGAGAAATTAGGTTTTGGTACTTAAATTTGGGCAGCTTTGGACAATGTAACGGAGGCAGACCTGTTTGGTGTCTTGATGGCAGCATCTCTTCTGAGAGTGGAGCTTCCTGGATTTCTGTGGGATGAATGAATGGAATGTACTCATGGAAGAGACTGGGCGAAGAGGGGAGCTGGGCTGTTGGCTTGGCTCAGCATCTTGTGGGAGCTCAGCCTCATCTTCCTCGCCTGGGAGCATCCTGACTCTAGGCAGAGGAAAGGGTTATGTCTCTTTCCTGGCTCCAGCCCACAGGAATATTCTGGAGTTCTGTTCACCAGGATGAGATAAGAGATTTCTGGGGTAGGTACAATAGGAAACCTTAAATGCAGCGGCTGGATGAGGAGCTCCTTCCCTGCGTCATGGAAGTGAGATGCCAGAGGAAGCACCAAAGCTTTTTAAAATGAAGGACACAAAGGGGTTTGGCTCACAGATGGACGTGCGCCCTGGGAGCAAAGATGAAAGGCTGTGGTGTAGAAGCAGGAATTCAAGTCACAGTTGTGGCATCCACCTTGGCCTTGAGATCGGATTGAGTGGGAACTGTTGGAGCTGAAGGCTTGATCCAGGTTTTGACTGAAAGCTGTCAGTGGAGAAACCAACTGGCTGTTGCTTCACTGCTGATGCCTGTTTGGGAGATTTTCCCAGGATGGGGCTGTAAAAGGTGTGAGGGGGGACATGGTGGTGTCCAGGTCCGCCTGGGAGATGTGGCTGAGGGGATTTGGGAATCAGCTGTATTCCAGCAGCAGGACCTCTGCAGCACACCCGTCATGGCTGCCCCACCTGGCTGAAGGAGCCACGGGCTGAACTGCGTGTAGCGGAGCAGGAAGGATCACCTCTGCAGCCAGGTTTGGGTAGCCTTTGGTCCTCCAGGAAGAACCTTGGTCCTTTGGCTTGTCCTTAGGTCCTCCAGCCATGGAGGTGCCACCAGTCACCCAGGAGATGCCGAGAGCGACAAAGCAGTGCCAGCATTTCACACTCTCCAGGCGTTGACTGGGATATTCACTTTGGCTCTTCCTAACCTTCCAAGATCCTCCTTCCCTGCAGATGGGAAATGAAAATCCTTGGCATGGGCATCTAACAGTGGAAGCAAGTCAAGTAAGGTGACTCAGCCAAAAAAGAACAGAGAGGAAGAAACCTGTCCAAGCCTGGGTCGGTGCATCAGGGCATGGGCGCATGGCGCGGATCAGGGCTGCTCCTGCTCCCCAGCACGGAGCTGCATGGAGCAGCTGAGTGCTTGTACCTCTCTCTTACCCAGTGCACAGCTCTTACATGCTGTTGTAAAATGAGAGGGCTTGGAAGCACTTCCCCTGGTTGATCCAATCCCAGCGTTGGGCTTCTGTAAATCTCCCTGAACTGCTGGCAGTGCTGCCAAACCCTGCTGCAGTGTGGGGAGAGCAGGTCGCTCCCTGCTTCCCTCGCCGTGCCCAGCTGTTCCAGGGCAAATCCAAACTCATTTTGGCAGGTCGGTGAGAGCTTTTCAAACACTCGGCCTAGGAGTCATTTGTTAGTAACAAATGGGGGATTTGCCAGGACACGCAGCTCCATCTGGTCTGGCATCCTGTCCCCTCCAGCAGCCTTGACGGATCTGCTCGAGGAAGGCAGGGGAGCAGGAAAAAAAAGAAGGCATTTTTCCCATGGAAGGAAAACCACTTCCGCAGTCTGTTTGAGCAGGGTTTCCTGGGCTGGAGCATCCTCGTGGCATGTGCTGGCCTCAGTGCCTGTCAGCACCAGCTCTGCAGCTCATGGACAATCTGAGGTGAGAGCTAAGACATACATTTTTTATGACTGTTTTGCATTTCACCTCTGAATGCCAGAGAGGCTGAGCTGCAGCCAGCCAGGATCTTGGTGTGCTTCCTGCATGGAGTGGGTTTTTTCTCCTTTTTCTTCACATGGTTAATGAGAGAAACAATTTTAGAGGTCTTCTTCCAACCTAAATTCTTCTATAATTCTATAATCTGTTTATTCTCTTTTTATAAAATTCCCCCATGTCTTCAGTGTGTTAAAATCCTTCCACAATGACACTATGAATGGAGCCAGCCCTGAGCTGACCTCTCTGAGCCATCACCTTGGTATGTAGCAGGTGTGTTGCTCACGCTTTATATACAAGTGAATATCAAGGAATGTGTGTCCCACAGTGGGACAGCGCACTCTCCAAGTCTCAAATCCTTGTGTTTGGGATTGAGCTTTATGGGGAACATTTGGGGACGTATCTGTAGCTGGGACAGCTGGTGGTGGCCACCGTTCTGGTGGTCATTTCAGGCTGGGTTTGGCAGGTTGTTTTGGTTGTGGTGCTGGTGTGCTGTCCATGACCAGTTAGGGATTAGTGTGAATATTCACATTCCTGGTCATCGAAATCCAGGGATGCATCAGGCTGAAAATCTGTCCCTTGCTTGTCCCAGTGAACAGGTGGGCTGGTGATGGTAGGGCCCCAACCACCTCCCTCTCAACAGCCCATGGTTATGATCATCCTCAATCAAGTGTGAAGCCACAGGGGTAGCACAGGTTGGTGCTAAAGGGGGCTGAAAGGGGTTTGGGAACACCCAGGGTGAGCGGATCCAAAGAGACAACGAGGGGCTTGCAGAATAAGACCCAAACTTGGAATTGTTTGGGGTTTTTTTCATTAGAAGTTCTTGAAGTGGTTTGGTCTGAGCTGCTACAGCCTCCATATGACCCATGTCTTGGCTAAGATCCCTCTGTTCTTGCCCACTGAGCTCCTTCTGTGCCCATGCAGCCATCCTGACTCTGCTCTCTGTGTCTCTCCGTCCTTCACAGTATCCAGACCTGAGCCAGGAGTCCGGGTCTCCATTTGTCTTTATCTGCACTAATCCCCAGGAGATGGTTCTGAAGTTTCCCATCAAAGGAAAACACAAAATCTGTAAGTAGTAAAGTTTCCCCAGGTGCCCCCCCAGCCCTCGGAGCTGGTTCCCCTTGCCACCCCAGCTTGCTGTTGCCAGATGAGTTCCCAACTTTCACCGTCTGCTCTTTGATCTGGAGGTGTTTGTTTAATAGCTTGAATACATCTGTAATATTTTTTTGTCTTCAGTTCCCCTTTCCCCAGATGTTGCTTCCTTCCAAATACATGCTTCTTCCTGCCTCTGCAAACACTCTGGGAGTCAAAGAGCAGTCGTGTCGGTGGCCGATCTGCTGCCAGCACCAGCCTGGCTCAGGATAAGAGTCGGTGCAGCAATGCCCAGGCAGATCCAGGCCACCTCAGTGTCCTGTAGTCCCAAATCACGCTCTTTCCCCTGAGGGCAGCGAGGGCTTGAACAGCAAGAGCTGCAGGGCCAGATGGATGTTCCCCATCTGCAGGCCGGTGGGATGGGATGGGATGGGATGTCCTGGCAGAGCGCACGGGGAAGCGCCGCAGCATCTGTCCGCGCTCCGCTTGCCAGCGTCGTTAGTCCCTTTTACGAGCCACCAGCCCCTCCGCAGGCTGCCAGTTATTCCTGCCCGCTGCTATAAAAAGGATGGAGGAGGGAATGCGGCAGCTGGGGAGCCCGCAGTCAGCTCCGTCCTTATTAGCAGCCTCCCCACCACACAGCCCGGGGAAGGCACCGCACGCGCTTGCAGGGGATGTGAAAAATTAATTTGACGGGCTAAAAGCAGCAGAAGCAGGAAGAGTCTTGGCTGTTTATTCAGCAGAGCTGACAACTGGGTGATCTCCCTCCTTTCCACATGGATCCTTGGGCTAGTACCTGGGGCTCAGGAGTGTTGGGATTTCTCAGGACTGGTTAATAAGGGCTTTTTTGAAACACAGCAGAAGGTTATTTTTGTTGCCTTTGAGGGTCTTTTTCCCTCTCTGCTCAGGGAAGCACATTTCTGCCACAGCTGGATGTTGGGATGTCCTGCAAAACCATTTCATTTCTTCCTTGCCTTTTTCAGCAGCAACTGGGAGGTGTATTCAGCCAAAGCTGACCAGTGCTTGGACACCTGCAAGCACTCAAAAATCTCTCTTATGGTCCTCCCCCTAGATGGGTTATTCTGAGTGCCAGTGAGCAGGCAGGAGTTATTTAGGATGCAAATCTTGGCTGTGGCTTAGCCTTGTGGCCCTTGTGTGCTGGTGCAGCCACTGCATCCTTTTTTTCTCTTGTTTAACCTCTCCTTTGCTCTCTCCAGCTCTCATGCTCCTTCTCTCCCACCTCTGCCTCTGTCTGGCCGTGGGTGGGAGAGGGCAAAGCTGCTCTGTGGCTCCTGCGCGTCTGCCTTGCCGGGTGCAGGTGCTGCCAGTCCCCTCCCCATCTGTCACATCATCTCCTTTGTGTTGTGACACTTTCCTGCTTGGAGAAGGATCAGTCTAACAGCCTGGAAGGAAGCCGGCTGTGCTGGTGGCTGCCTGTGCTCCCACTTCTACTGCTGGCCCTGCCTTCCCTGCCCTCCATCCCAATAGGAGCTGTCACAGGAGCAGCACAGGGGGCTGTGGAGCTGTGTGTTCACCTCCCAGAAGGGACATGGTCCGTCTGGGTGATATTTATGACAGCCTAAGGAAGGAGCAGGGAAGCCTTTGACCTTTCATCGGCGCAAGGCACTGTTTTAATAGAAGCTGGCATTGCATCCCAGGCAGTCAGAAGCTTAATTCTCCCAGCTGGAAGCTGAGCAGAGGGAAGGTGCCAGCTCACATCCCCACTTGGGCTTGCTGGCTGCCCTGGTCTCCTTGAAACCTGGCTCAAACCATGACAAAATGCCAGTTTGTCCTGTTGGGAAGCCAAGCCAGAGCAGTTTTCCTTGCCAGATAACAGCATGGACCTCGCCACAGTGACATCCGGATGCTTCTCTGTTGCAAATTGTTTCTAGCAGCCTGGGGATGGGAAAAAAAAAACCCTAGCATGGTTCATTTTTTTCTGCCAGGGTCATTGTTTTTGTGGAAGGGATGGGCACAGTGTTGCATCTGGGGGCACAGCTCTCCCCAGATACGTCCCCCTGTAGTTTTAGTGCACAAGGACAAAGCTCGCTGGCCTTTCTCACGGGAGATTTCCTTGAATCCAGGCAAAGCTACCCTGAAGCATCAATCAGAAGCCTCCCTCCACCAGCCAGTGTCTGGAAGAGTGAAGAAAAGCAGAGGACATGGTGTGAGACAAGAGGCCTTGAATCATTGAGCAGAAAGAGCAAGGGACCCTGGGGCTTTGCCTTATTTTTAGCCTTTTCTGAAAGGTTACCTGTGTGGTGTGTGGTGTTTGCGAACTGGAAGAGCAGAGGAGCTTCCCAATGTTTTTGGGGTCCAGGAGAAGCAGGCAGGCACATGAAAATAACAGCCCTGGTGACAGTAGGTGGTGTTGGGGGACCAGAACGTGGAGAGAATGTGAACTTGCTGCCTTTCTCCTGCCAAAACCACCCCTAACATGGGGACACAGTGGTCTGACACACTGCCGGGCTCAGCCTGCTGGGGTGCCAATGGCTGGAAACAGCAATTGCAAGGAGGGGGCTCCTTCCCCATCCTTAGGTGGTGGGGGGAAGGTCTTGTCTGGGGTGGCTGAGGAGATGGAGGATCTCCCAGAACATCTTCCAATCCATGTTTCAGTTTGTGGATCTCTGGCATGGTGATCTGCAAACTGTCTTTGTTGAACTGGAATTGAGAAGTTTTCTTGGTTTGAAGAGACGGTGATGGTCACTGGCTGGTTAGGAGCTGTTTTCTCTGGAGAAGCACCTGCTTCTTATGGTACATGGGCATTTACCAGCAGATTTTGGAGCAGTGGCCGAAGTAGAACTTTGGAGCCTGGTGTATCTTGCCCTATCCCTGTTCCCAGCTGCAGAGACAGGGCAAGGCTGGCATTTAGAGGATGAGAAGATGAAGGGGAGCAGCAGGAAGGCAAGTTCTGGGGAGATATGGCATTAGAGGAGGTGTCCAGTATTGGCTGCTGGCAGAGCCTCTCTGGAAAGCTGGCTCTGGGAGCTGGGAGAGCGGGAGCATTCTTGCATTTTTACAGACAGGAAGAAGAGGATAAGGGCGCTCCTCTCAGGAAGCACATCACTATGCCTGGCTTCTGGCTTCTTCAGCAGCAGTTGTCCAAAATCCCATGTTCTGGTGTCCTGCTCCTCTCCCAGGTGGGAAAGCAGAGCTGGCAGTGTAGTCCCCAAGGGCTGTCAAGGACAAGGAGAAGGCAGTGTTTTCTCCAGGTCCCACTGGAGCTGCTGACTGAGGTTTTCCCTGGTGGCAAAGGCAGCAGATGGCCTTGGAGACCACCAACCTGGCACATAGCAACATGGAGCAGGTGTCCCCATCACACTGGGTACCCATTGCACCGTCATCCCAGGCTGAAGGTTTGTTGTCCCCAGTCCTGCCTTTTCCTGCACCATGGAGAAACATCCCTGGCACATTGCTGGATGGTTCCCCATCTCCTCGGAGCATCCTGCAGGCAGGCACAGGGATTGCTTTCCCCCCTGGTAGTGGCAGGCGAATGCTGGATGTTAATTCACTCCTCTCCTCACTGAATTTCCCCCTCTCTGGCATCTCTTGGCCGCGTCGGACGCGCTTGCCCCTGGCTCCCCGGTGTCGCGCCTGCAGAGGGAGGCCGCGGCGGCTGGAAACGCCTGGCTCCTCAAGCAGGATAATTGGATGTGACAGGAACACACTAACTAGGAGACCTCGCTGCCTCCAGCTCATTTGCATTGCAAATAGCATTTAAAAATAAAGAGTGATGAGGGTTTGTTGTGTTTTTTCTTTTTTCTTTAATCCCCTCTTTACAGGGAAGCTGGATGCAAAGATCCATCAGGGAGCAAAGAAGGGGTTAATGAAGCAGAAAGCTGTGGGGTGAGCGCCGGGGAGCAGCACTGGTTCCCATGAAGCACCCAACTGCCTCTGAAGGGAGCCAGGATGGTCTTCAGCTCTGGAAAGCAGGTGCAAGATGGATCCCTGATCTCAGATTATGTTTAGGTATTGCTTTCTCTCTTGTATTCCGAAAATATTAAAAGATATTTGTTTTCACCAAGACCTGACCCAACAGCCCTGTGCTTCCAGGGAGGTCCCATGCTGCAGGCAAGGGTGGGTGGGAGATGGAGCTTGGCATGGTGTGGTTCAGCTATCACTGGCACCCACAGGAGCAGCATGATGGGGCATGGGGAGCTCTCCAGCAGCAGGCAGCCCAGCTCCATCCTGGCTTTGGCAGGATCTCCCTCTCAAAAGGTGCCTTGAGGTGTTTTTTGCTCTGTGGGGTCAGACACATGGAGGAGAAGGGTGAGAAGCTGAGGGGATGAGGGGGATGGCTCCCAACAGCCAGAGAGCCATTGCCAAGTGGGCATGGGAGGTTTGTGGTTAGAGATGGGCTCTGTGCCTGCTCACAGGTGCTCTTCCAGCCCTTTGGAATCACTGCTGAGTGCCCAACCTTATATCCTTCTGCTGATTTGTACCAAAGCAGCAGCCTTTCCCCAAGACCTGGCCTCCAGCAGCTGTGTGTAGAACACCTTTGGAATAAGCTGAATTTTGTCTTTTTCTCTACTCCCTGTCACTGAGCCTTTCCCCACAGTACCATGTCCATGCTCATCATGTGCTGGTGTGTACTGGGCTGTGATCCCTTCATGTGGTGCTCCAGGCTCTGCCTTGCCCCAGTCTAAGAGCTCCTCCTCATTACCCTGAGCCCACCCTGCTCTGGCAGGGACAGAGTGATCCCCCCGGCACTCCCAGCATCCCTTTTCCTCCTCTTTCCCAGGAATGCGTTGGGAGCTGCCAGCTCAACTGCTTGGCACAGTCCCTGGGTGGAGGTTGTCCCAGCCCTCTGCCCTATGGGTGAGGAGGAGGAGGGTGCAAAACTTTTGTGCTGCAGCACTGGAAATCATCCCATGCCATTTGCCCTGGGAGTTGTCTTCTGGCTCCCTTCGCTGCCTGTGGGATCTCTGAGGTGCTGGAAATGATGGGGCTGGATCCAACGCCCACCCACGTTATCCCTCAGTGGGAAAACCCTCGCAGGTGTTTCAGCTCTGAGCTGCCTGCGATTGGCACAGAGGTTATGGTATGGGAGCTGTTCTTCAATGTGGCCAAGGGTGATGGGATTCTCCTGCTTCTTTCCTCCTCTGGCTGCATCCCCCCATCTGCTCTGTCCCTTGTGTCCCACCACTGTGGTCCAGTCAGCTGTGCTGGGATTCCTGGAGGCTTCCCTGCACTCTTCTTACATGGACATCCTTCTGTCCTGCTGGATGTCCCTTGAGAATGATGGAAAATATCTGTGGTGCCAACAGTAGCAGAGCTGGAGAGGGATGGGGGGCTTGGGGAGTCATCCCGGAGTCCCAGTGCCTTGGGAAGAAGGAGGCAGGAGAGACCTTCCTTGTGGGCTGTGTGGGAGAGGCGGGACACAGGGATGGAAGGTGCCAGGCTGGCTCCAGGTGGTGCAGCCCCAGCTCCTGCTGTCATCCCAGGAGTGCAGCACCATCAGACAAGACCGTGACAGAGGGGGATCTTGTTCCAACTCCATGATCCCACAAAATCCCACCTTCCCATCACATCTAGTGCCTGTTAAAATCCCTCTCTCAAGATACTGCTTCCCCAGATGGGTCACCCATCCCATGCCTGAGCCAGGCTTTAATAAGAGCCCATGATTTGGCTCCATATTAAAGCAGATCCATCTCCTGCATCCATCTCTGACAGTGGCTGCTGCCTTGTCACCTCCGTGTCTTTTGTCACTCACAGCTCACGTCTACCTGGTGCCTGCAGGTTTCATCCCTAAGGGTTCCACGTCCACTCTCATCTGTAGGATCCTGTGGGATCTCCGGCAGCTGCAGGCAGGCTGGATCACAGGCCCCGCTTGTGGCTGTGGCAAAACATCATTGGAGCAATGCTGAGATCGTTCCCAATGGAACTGCCTTGCCTGGCAGGGGTTTTATTTTCCTCCTGTATTAGTGGCATCACAATTTTGCCAGGAAAGATGCACTGATCCATCCCTGGTTCGTCCTGTGTTCCTGTCTGACGCTGGTTTTTCCACCCTTGGAAGCACCATTCCTGGTCTGGGTTTTGCTGAACATCAACACCAAATGCCCATAAAACCTTTTACCCAATCCTTGAAAGTACTTCAGTAAAAACTGACCTGGTTTTATTAATGCAGGTTGTCTTGGAGCCTGCTGACATTGGCTCTGTGCTCTGCAAGAACAGCTTCTCCTCATCAGGATAAGGAAAGATTTCTTCTCTTTCTCTCTTTTGGGCTTTAAGAATTCTCATGCCTCTTTTCCTGTTGATTTAAACATCTCCTGGCTCCCTCCCACTTTCCCCAGCCCCAAAAGCTGGTGAGACACCCAAACCTCTGGCCTTCTTGGCATCACCTCCTTTGCCAGAGATTTGGGTCTTGTGTTCTTGTTTAGGGCAAAAAGCATCAGAAGAAATTGGCATCTCCTTTGGTGCTCTCCTGAAACCACACTGGATGGTGGCACACTCAAGGAATGGTGGCACCTCTTTGGGCTGGAATACTTACAGCATCCCCTGGCTGGGTGGATGGAGTTGGTGCTGCTCTCCCTCTGCAGGACCTGCAGATTTGTGTGTGTTCCTGCTGCATGCTCAGCCCTGACAGATGCCAGCTGGGATCCTGCATCCCACCTCCCATTGGCACAGCTTGCCGCACTGGTTCACCTTCCTGGTTTTGGGTGTCATGGAGACAGGACTGGGACATCCACTGAGCTGAACCGAAATTTCCTCACCAAACAGTAGGGCTGATGCTGAGGCTTTGGGAAAAGGAGCAGAGGTTTTGGGTTGTCTGGGTGCTAGGGTTGAGATGAGCTGGAATTTCCACCCTGGTCAGCAGGGCCGGTGCTGAGGCTGTAGGTGGGAAGTTTAGGGGACATGTCACCTCCAGGGCATGAGAACGGCTGGGGACCCAGGTGCTCTTTCCATCCAGAAGAGTGTTTGGAAAGGAAAAGTGTCAGCGTGGGGCACGATGTGGTGGATTTTGAGGTAGGTGTGGGCGCCCGGGGTGCTGATGACTCCCTCCCCTTGCCTTTCTCTGCTGGCTCTGGGAGCTAAAAGCGTGGCCTTGGAGGGAGCGCACCGGGCTGAGGTCTCACAAGACACCACTCAGAGGGTGGAACATCCCTGAAAGATTCCCCCCTCCATTTCCGAGGAGGCACTACGGCGGCTCCGGCTCCTCAGGCAGGGAACGCTCCGCTCCGGGCTTTGTCTGTCTCCAGCTCCCGATTCTTCGGGCGGAGTATCCGCTCCGTGTTTTCCCGCCGCCCGGGGACGCCGCTCCACGTTCCGCCCTCCGCGTTTTGCGCCGCGTCCGCCCCGCCCCGCCCGGCGGACCCGGCGCGGCCTGCGCGGCGCGGCCTCAGCGCGTGGCGGCCCC